GAAGTCCACAAATATTTATTATTCATTTATTTATTTGTACCGTGAAGGTACCTGGTTCACTGCCTCCTGTTTATTCCAAAAATAGCCTCGTAAGGTAGGCTTGACTGAAAAATACTGACTGCCCCAGCAAGGATTTGAATTCAGATTTCCTTTACCCAATAGCAGTACTCTAATCACGACATCTTGGATCAGTGGTTATCATACAAATGATACCAAGGTTGAAACATATTGGTTGACAAACAGTATGGAGTAATGAATGTTTCTAATTTGCATAATATGAAAAGTCTATATTCATTGGTATGCAAATTTGAGGTTAAAATGCAGTTGAATTATGGCAACTCTATTTCTGGGGCAAATGTTTCCTAAGGCATGGGTGAAAGAGTTAATTTTCACTTCCCTGCAGCTCTATCCAATATACTTCCATCTCTTTCACACACACGCATATATATTCACACAAAGAAAAGTCTAAAATTAACAAAAGTTAAACATTATCTAACAGCAAAAAATGTTGAGCTTCGGAGCAAGATAACTTCTTGAAAAGAATTTGGTTTGGAATCATCTGAAGGGTTTATTTTATTGCCGGAATTCTCAGCACACATGTTATAAAACGTTTTAATTGCCCTTCTTTTCTTTGAAGGAAAGCCAGAAAATTAGGTGAAAGTTGGCAGAACATTCGAAAGGTACACATTTAAACTCATTTTGGTTAATGTTACTTCATGAAATCAAAAGACAAGTTATTTGTTTTTCTGCTAGTAAGTATGATCTAAATCAAGGGGCTGTCAAAAATGAACCTCTATAGAAGATGCTTTTTAGTTAAGAAAAGCTTTTAAAAATGCTTCTTCTTCCATCTCTTGTTCAAAAATCAAATTATGTCTCTGATTCTGAAGCAAAATTATCATTATCTTAAAAAGGTGAATATTACCCCTTCCCCTCTTCACCACAGCGTGTCCCAGTAAAAAAGGGCCACTAGGCCATTTTTAGGGGGCTAGAGTGGCTACTATAGGAAGCATGTGTCTGGCATAGCCATTTCCCAGGGAAGGCTAGCCAGGTTCAATCCACCTAAAGCTGGTTGTAACAGAATGAGTAGAAGGAGACAGAATAACACCCATCCTCTTCCCTTGGCCAGTGAGCGCATGCAGGATGGAAGGGCTCAAGCAATTCCAATGTTAATCCTTGTTTTATGATTACTTAAGGGTTGGATGCAACCTATGTGGTTTTTAGTTTGATGATCACATTGTCAGAATTCCCAGATTTGTAGATACAGAGCATAACGAAGCAATCCTTTAAAGCAGTGGTTTCAACACTTTTCGAGGTACAAACCCTTTTATAATGGGCAAGTAACCTGTGAAATGGTTAAGGTTTCTGGTAACTGCAGTTCAAGAACATCTGGGTTACTCAAGTTTGGGAACTGATGCTCTAAAACAAGGATTCTGTTCAGACAGATACCCTAGTATAAAGGGGAAGGGGACTCTAATCTTTTGTACATTATTTTAACTTATGCCTCAGCAATCATAACATCTGTGTTGCAACCCCAAAACACTGTTTATCCTGCAAATGGCTGAACTTAACGCTGGTAAATTGCTGCAAGTTACAAATTCACTGACATTGTAACTCACAGCAATTTGCTACAAAAAGTTACACAAGTGCAGTTAATATCAGCAACAGGAGTTTGGCCCATGAACAACAGCAGAGATGGACAAAGTTACATTTTTAGGCTAAAATTCCAAGAATTACCCCCAACTAGCATGGACTCAAGCTTTGTTGGCTAGGTGTTCTGGGAGCTATAATCCAGAAGGCAACTTGTCCAATCTGAAGGCAAGAATAAACAGTTTCATATTTGCAGCATTCGTATTATCTTACAGTGCAAAGCTAGGGACTTCGACAATGATGAATGCTCTAATTATCTTGGCTTCTCCTGTTGCTTATCCATGAATTCACTTAGTGCTTAGTTAAAGCTTGCTGCATGATTGAGTACTTTTAAAACCATTTGTAATATACAACTTTGCAAATATAACTCCTTTTCAGATTCTGTTGGTAGCAAGATCTTCTAATTCACTCAAAATCAAATCTATGCAAATATTCAGTGCTTTGTTCCCTCAATTACCATGACAATGGTTCTGTAAGCTTTTTTTTAAATTGGGGGAAAGATCAGGGATCCACACTGGGAGTTTTTCAGGCAACATTTGTGCTCTGTTGCTTTAGCTATGGACATCCGCATTGAAAGGAAATAATAATCAAATTAGTTGTTCTTTAAAAAAGAACATAGCATCATAAATATAAGACTCTGTTCAAACAAATTGTAATTGAAGTGTGCTCTAAAGCACATTGTACTTAATGTACTACCTGGTTAGATGTTCCTATCACATTGTGAATATCTTCATCATCTTCTCATAAATTCAGCCTTGGCTTCATTCCAAGGTTGATTACTTTTTGGGAGTTGTCACCGTTATCTTTATGGGATTATAATGAGGATTATAATGATTATATAGGATGACAGTGAGTGTTTATATTTCCAAAGAATCAGGCATGCTTTTTCTGAAATAAGTTGTTCCTGCAGGCAGGAAACCTACTTTGAGCAAGACATGACTTTACTTGCCCAGTTAAGGTTTTCAGCTTTACTTTGTGATAATAATGCATGTCTGATTTTGGTACCTGACATGGTTTCATTATTGTCTGCTTATTTACAGGGTCAATGCATAGTGCTTCATAGGAAGACGAATGTGGTTTCAGCGGTATATGTACTGTACAAAGTTTAGTGATAGTTTTAGTATATTGAGCCATTTTTGCTTAACATCTGAAAGAAACTGCTACCAATTTAATGAAATATTGGCTTGTTTTCTGTGCAGGGTGGATTGATTTAAGTCATGATTTTAAAAAAATAAATGGATTTTTTTGACAATTTAAATTTAAATAATTTTTTTAAATTGTGACTTAAATCAATTTCATTTTAAAAAATCATTGATTTTCATCCATCCTGTTTCTGTGTCTAATAACTAGTAAAGATAGTGTCATTACATTTCTTTTACACCTTAGTCATAGCAACATATTTTTTCCATGATGCGAAAGGGCTGTAGCTTTGTGATTGATCAAATGGTATGTATGCAGAAGGTCCCAGGTTCTGTTTCTAGTGTCTCCAGAAAGGGTTGGGAAAATTTCTGCCTAAATCCCTGAAGAATTGCTGCCAATTAATATTGGGGATACTAAGCTAAGTGGCCCAATGGTCTGGCTAAGTATCAGACAACTCTCTTTACTACCTTGCATATTTTCTTCAGAAGTGAATCCCACAGGACTAAACTAAGTTGTTAGTTCCAACTAGACCTGTCGGTGTATTGAATGAATGGCAGTTCAGTAGGTCTAGTTCAGTAGGTCTAATCTAGTTAGGCTAACAACTGGATTTGGCTCACTATGTTTAATGGGGTTTAGTCTTTAAAAAAATATGGAAGTTTTTTTAAATAAATCTTCAATATACTCTCTCTCTCTTTCTTAGTGCATAATATATGGTGTGTTGTGTGTTTGCTTTACCAAACTGTGCATCTATGATGCAGAGTTTAAATGCTGAAACTAGATGCTCCATTACATTAAAATTTTCACAGGCTGCCAGAATACCTGCTACAGTTCTGACAACCATTTATATATAAATCAAGAAAACCTGTTGCTTTGGGGTTTGAAATTACATTTTGCTTATAAGTTGAGAAGTGTTTTCCACTCTACTATAATAAAGATCTCATTTTGCTAGCAAGCTCACATACTTAATGGATGACCTTAAGCTAAACAACTAAAATACTACTGCTTATAAAGAAAAAAAATGAGTACAAGGAAGAGATTCTTAATTTAGGCACCTTATTTGCTTCGTAACTGGCAAATTTGTAAAATATTTCTTCTGAAGATATTTAAGCTAATATTTCCTCATTAAACATTGGAGGCAACTGGAATAACAGATTATATGAACATTTTGGAAAACATTTGATAAATTTGTGTTTACCTGTGTCTCAGACTTGGTCCTAATGGAATTCATGATGACATGTTAAACAGCGCACTTGATACCTGTCATGCACTACAGTCCTGAAGAAATTTTTTTTTAAGAGGCCTCAGTGGTTTATTATTATTTTTTAATCATATACTGTGTGCCCACTATTTCAATGAATTTTTGAAATGAATTTATGGCTGAATCTCACATATAGATAAACCACTTGATCACTTGTTATTGGAGATGTAAAGAATACTCACTAAATTCTTTCTTGTCATCAACTTCAGCTGTCTTGGCTTGGTGAAGAATTTTCAATTCTCACAAGATTCTGCCCCTCCAGGGAAAAGTGAAATAAGGGGCATGATTTTCCTCATCAGGTTCTCCGTTGTTTTCACATGTTCCTCTGCAAAACTAGTGTCATTTCCCTTTGAAAAGCAAAGTACACATAAGCAGTGAGCATGGAACTGCTGGATAGTTCACTTCTTAGGCCTCTGGCTGCAGAGCCAGACACTTGAGAGTTCGATTCCCCACTGTGCCTCTTTGACATGGACTTGACTCAATGATTCATAGGATCCCTTCCAGCTCTGCAGTTCTAAGATGATGATGATGATGATGGTAAATCTACCTGATTGTTAAAAGAATTGCTTCATATTGTCTCTACTTTTTTAAGTTGCCTTTGCAAATAAACCATTAGTGGTATTATAGCATTGTCTTATAAAAAAATCTTGTAAATTTACCCATTGGCGAGAAAACTTCCAAATTGTACATTCAGACCTTTGAGAGTGAGATAAATGAAGACTTAAAACCCGCTATTTTGTACTGACCTTCATACAGTGGGTGGAGTGACTGCTTCTATACATGCAAAGTGAATTTTGACATTTACCTTAAGCAGCAGCCTAAACGTACATCTCTTTCCCTGCCCAAGGGCAAAATAGCACATCCGGAGTAGCTGATTGGATCCTGTTGTTTACTGTCCACTTGACTGAACAAATTATTGCTTTTTCTATTCTTATATGTATTTCTTTTGTTGTAGGAGTGCAAGAGCCACAACATGAGAAGATTATTACAGTGTCTGGCAATGGAAGCATTCACAGCCCAAAGTTTCCATATACTTATCCCCGCAACACAGTACTGGTGTGGCGATTAGTAGCAGTGGAGGAGAACATGTTGATACAGCTCACATTTGATGAAAGATTTGGGCTTGAGGACCCAGAAGATGATATATGCAAGTAAGTTATTATTGCTGAGCTCACATAAGCCTGATACAATTGATGATAGATATGATAATGGCATTTCAGAATTTTCATCTTTTCAGAATTTTCAGTTAGACCTCCTCATCTTGTTCATTGTGCAATTTATACAAGCTTTTTCTTATTTACTCTTTTTTAAGTTCATCACTGTTATACATTCAGATGCTCATCCAGCTGCAGTTGTGTATGCTACTATAAAGTAAGAGAACATGATATCCCCTGTCTACAAAGTATTGATGTAGCTTTCATAACAGGTTTGCTGTTTCTTTCTATCTGAGGAAAATCGATTTACGAAGTGAAATGCTTTTTAGCAGTTCATAGGAAATATAAGCAACGGACTATAGCAAAATAAAAGACATGTAGTAAATGTAGCAGAAAATTATGAAAACAGGGAAAAATTTATACGATCTGAAGAGAACCCAGAGTGACAAAAATGAATGCAAGACTGCTGTTGCACTTTAGAGACTAACAAATGTATTTCAGTTTGAATTTTTGTGAGTTGCAGCCCACTTCCTCAGATGCAAGATAGTGTCTTGCCACAAGATGGAGAGGATTTTTTTTCTTCAATTTCAGAGTAACTGCTCATTCTCAAAACTGATTTTTGGGTCAAAGCTTGATCAATGTGCTAAATTTTAAACTGTGATAGCTGTTGCATGGACTAGCAAAAGTAATAGCAGTGGATGGGTTGTACTCTGCTCTGTGCGTGCTTAGTTTCAAAAGGGCAAAGAAGCCAGTTTTGCTCAGAGAGACTTGGGGCAAGTTTTAAAAATCATGAATTAAAAAAAAACACTTGATTGGTCTCACACTGGAGGCAAGACCTTGCATGGGGTTGAGGTAGAATAATGAGGCATATTACTGATTTAAAATACAACAAATTTCTGTATTGAGGCATGTGCTGTTTGTAAATTCAGTCTTGGGCCAATATTATAGCATTGTTTAATAAAAAAATCTTGTAAATTTTGTGTTATGTACTTTCCGTTTTACACGATGCTAAGTCTGATCATTTGTGAACATATTATTGAAATATTCATAATTTTTTACTTAAGGTATTTGGACAAAGATATTACCTTGATGCACATACCATTAGTAGGGGGACTTTTTATAGGTGTTCTCCCAATGTTTTCAAAACTTGTGTTACCACCCTACATTAGCTAGCATACAGTGGGACATATTTTAATCATTTTTAACATATTGACTCTGAAATATTAACTGAAATTCTTCAGTGGTTTTGACCATATTATCAAAGCACTCATTACACTGATACATCGCAAATTAAACAGTTTTTGGATGAGATAAATTTGAGCTTATTTTTCTCAGTGATACAAAACTGAGATTGAATGAACACTCCTATGAACCTGAACCTTTTAGTGTCTGAAATCCTTTTGCAAAGTTACACAAACAGCATAATTGTTAAACTTTATTTGTGTCATACTTGAATGTCATGACTTGGTGTGCAATAGATACTATCTACAGAGATTACTGACTGCAGTTTGTGTCAAGATGGTCTGCCGATTATGTAACTATACAACAGGATTCCAGCCAATATTTTTAAAGAAAGGTTTACTAGCATTGTCAATTGGGATATTCGCATGAAAGACCTTTACCTGAGTGATTTCACTATGCATCTATTTAGCTGACTTGACAAATTGTCTTGTTTTGGAAGTTAAGTCAGAAATGGGTTGTGTAACACTTCTCTGTGTTTAAATTAATAAAATGTCAATTTCTGATTTAGTCTGCCCTCATTTGACTATTAGATTACAGAAGCATTTAATTACAGAAGCAGATAGAGTATAAGTTGCGGAGGGACCTGTCATGTTCACAGGTGGATGTGTTGTGCTCGCGGAGCGGCGTGTTGTGTATGCACACGAGTGTGACACGCCCTTCCGTGAGTGCAACACGCCCACCGTGCGTGCGTGTGGAGGGTGGAGATCCGTGTCTGCATCCCAGTTCAAGAAAGCCCACGGACCAGCACCAGGCTGGGGACACGTGATATAGATGGATGTCTGAGCCAGCACTTTGTATGCCTTCTTTTACATTAGGATATAATGAGCCTTCATAATTTTTTCTTATCCTAAGCAAAAAGGAGTGTCTCAACATATGGAAATGTCTGCTCAAAAACAATAGTTAGTCACTGAGATTTTTCACTGGTGAAAAGAGTGACAAAGCTAACACTTCTTTTTGTCATCAACAGCATAGCAACAAACTCACCTATCACAAAAGCTTATCTTTTTCATGAAATACAGTACAAGGTTTTCTAAACACATACGTATATTAAAACTTCTGGAATTTTTTTTGCCAAACAATATCAAAATGCAAAACAATGCCCAGTGGTGAGAATTTTTTTTGAAATGTTTCATTCTCACCTGTAAGAATGAAGTAAAGATTTATATCTCTACTCTTGTAAATATGTTCTGAATAGCTGAGGCAGACAGTTCTTATTAGAGTAGAAATATACTGTACTTAGAATACTATGATGACTTGACACCCTGAGTCAGGATGGCTATGAAGCAGGTGCATAACACCTCTTTATTCCTACTGAGCCAGTTTCAAGGAGACAGAGCACACATGAGAGTTAAGGAAAAAAATTGAGTTTTGAGTCTAGGAAAATTCCTTCTTTGATGGTACATCAAAGGGTGTCTTGTGGTTCTTAGCCAAGTTTGTAAAGACATGTTAATAAAGCCAAAGCTAGGGGATTGGTCCAGTGAATGACATCAAGATCCGCATTAAAATCTTTGATGTTGTCTGTGCAGAATGGAAGATTTTGTTTTATTAATATTTTCCCCTTTAAAAACCTAAAATACTGACAAAACTTTGCCATAGACCACCTTGGACACTTTCTAGAAACAAATACAAAATCAATCATATTGCAGTCATCATAATCATCACAACCTGTCTGCAGACTTGAATTCTTGCCATCTTTCATTTCCGTGAGTGTGCCTGAAACTCTGTTATTGCAGCTTTCAGTTTCACCTTTTTTCTTTTCTTTTCTTTTTTCTTTTCTTTTATTTTGTAACTCTCATAAAGTACTGGAGAGTGGAAAACAAATTTTGGGCTACTGAAAATTTTCTTGCTGGTTAATAAATACACACAGAAATGAAAATAAATACTGCCACCCATTTTCTATTATTGAATATCTTTTAACTGCTAGATCCACTTAGCTTGTTCGTCATTTATCCAAGTATAGTTTTTTGTATTAAGTTTCTGAAATCGCCACTGAGAAGGATGGCCTTTCCAGTGTCACTAAAATGCACAGGATCTATAGTACAAGGATAGCAGAAGGACAAGAGATTATTGGGAAAGGACTATAGGAGAAAGAACATGAGGCATAAGAATGTTGCAAGACACTTCCTTTGCACTTTCTAAATAAGATTCCAAGTATGTCGAGGAATCTTATTTGCTGCTGTTGTTGTTGTGTACCATCAAGTTACTTTTGACTTACGGTAACTCTGATAGTCATCAGGATAGCTAAGAGGTTCAAGAATGGCTTGTCATATCACAGTGAGTTTTCACGGGGTTTGAACCCATGTAGTCCTAATCCAGCATTCAACATCACAGTCCATTGTGAGGTCCAGTGTGAAGTACTGCAAAAGATTTAGATACGTAAATCAGAGCCTTCCCTACCAATGAGGCAGAGTGGGATGAATTGTGAATTACTGCATTTATACTTAGTAACACAAGAAAGGAAACAAAGTGAATGATATGAAACAAATATTTTATTTGTTGGTTCTTCGTAGTGGCCTCTGTGAATGGACACAAATGGGTTTATTCTGCGCCTGCGCAGGACGTTCAGAAGATTCTAGAGCTTAAGAAAAAACAATTTAGTTCCTCCCCTAGGGCGCGAGCTCTGTCTCCTGAACCTTCCTTTCTGTTCCTTTTTTTTCCTGCCGTTAGGGTAGGACGTGAGGAACAGCAGAGCAGAGCAACTAAGGAAAGTGATTATAGCTTTTTTATATTCCTACTTTTATTTCTCTTCGAAATTATTGTTTCTTTATAGTGACAGAATCACTCTTTACGTTCTTTTGCTGTTTTTCTCTCTCTCCCCCATTCCCTCTCCTTTATTTTACTCTTTGTTTCCCCTATTTATGGGCCATCGGGGTTTTAAGAAGTGCTCTGTTTGTCTTCAGAAAATTCCTTTGACTGAGGGACATGATTTGTGCCTGTTTTGCCTGGGGGAATCCCATCAGACCCATTTGTGCTCTGCATGCAGAAGCTTCTCTAAACAAGCTATTAAGCTAAGAATGCAACGTCTAAGGTCCTTTCCCTATGAAAAGACCCTTAATCCTGCTATGGAAGGGCAGTCTATTCTTTTTCTCTCTCTCTCTCCTCCTCCCCCAGATCGGAGGTTGCAAATTCTGCCCCTAGCCTGGCTGCACAAACTTTGTCTAGCATGACTTCTTTACTTAACAAGAACTCTCAAAAATCAGCCTTCTCTAAGGCTCCTGCAAGGCCAGCCAAATCTGAAACAAAGAGAAAAGATGAGGAGAAAATGGAAAAACAAAAGACATCAGTTAAATCAGTAGGCTCCTGCAAGGCCAGCCAAATCTGAAAAAAAGAGAAAAGATGAGGAGAAAATGAAAAGACAAAAGACATCCGTTAAACCAGTCATTACTCCTCTCCCTCCAGCTCCAATGCATCTGGAGAAATCTTCAAGAGATGATCTTGGGCTTTCGGGTAGAGAAGAACGTGCCATTCCTCCAGCTCAAACACCTCATGTTCTGCTCAGCTTCTCTCTGAGTTCAGGCCATGGTGAGGCTGATGCACCGTCCAGCTCGGCCTTAGCCCATTCTAGCCCTCGATCCTCAGGGCGGGCAAATACTGATGCCGAATCCGAACAGGAGTCCGCTATACGCACTCCAAAAAAAGAGAATGGAAAAACGAAAGCATATTTCTCCATACCAACTGTGGGGCCACAAGGGCCAATGCTACCATCCTGAGGGGCTGCCGCAATACGGCTATCCTTATGATTGATACCAGCCATA